TCTACTAGCTTCTTGTTACTAGTAGTAAGGCACTTGTTACTAGAAGCCATGCACTTGTTACTAGTAGCTGTTTGTACCAGAAGGGTTTTGTGAAACCCAAAGCAAGTATGCTGACCTGTTGAACAGAAACTGCTCAGTGCCAGGCAGCATCAACCGCTGCATCTCTGAGGCTGACCTGAGAGATTGAGTTTAGGGTTGAGAAAGGTGTGTGGCTCAGAGTATCATAGACTTGAGGTTGCAAACGCCCTCCAACATGGCCATATTTTGATGGGAGAAGAACAAACACTCTGCCGTTAAAAAAGGAAACATATATATATTAAAGTAATAGGTAAATAGTAATAATAACAAACTTGAATTGCAAGGCAAACCCCCCAAGGTTGAACGTCTGCACATTCTGATCATTCTTTCATGCTGATCTCGCTCACAACTAGCAATCTGATCGCCAGCTGCACCACAAATTACATTCAAAAAAGAATAACACCTCACACGGAACAAGAAAGAACATTACAAATGAATAAAATCCTCAAACAATTCAAGCACATCAAAGGTCTACAACGAATGATCGGTTATCAACAACCATGACAAATCATGTCACTATGAAATACTGAAATCCTTGAAACCACCAAATGATGTCGTGAAGCTACTGACTGGGCTCTGAGGGCTCTAGCTCTACAGCCTCCGCGGCCTCCTCCGTGCCCATCGCCTCAAAAAAACATGAGATAGTGACAGTAAAACACAGCAGAATAACAAAACAAACAGTAAACAAAGTGCAACATAGTCATCTTCCAAAGGGTTGGCATTGGTTGGTGTTTTTTCAAATCTGCTCTCACACACTTCAGTCTTAGTGCAGGACTTCTGCCCAAACCAATCTCAAGTATGTTTCCTGTTTCTTCTGAGCCAAGCCTAGCGGTGAAAACCAATGGTAAGTTCTGAATGATGCCTGGTCTTGGTCTTGACTTGCATCCAGTCTGAAACCTGCCAAACCTACATCATCGGCACAAGACCTTGAAAATGATTCTGGTACTGCCAATGTGGTCGTGTTTGTTATCAAGCGTGCCAAATCTGTGCAGGAACTTATAGTGGAAGTTACGAAGATTGAAATCTTGCCTTGCATGCATCCGTCCGTACGTCCGAACTGTTTTAAGCTTTCATCAGGCCAAGTTGTCTGCAAAACGTATCACCTACCGAACAATGTTCACCAAACATATACAGTAAAAGTATGTAAAACTTTATATATAGTCGGCCTAAGTTGTGTGCAAAACCTCTTGCTGACCCAGCACAAGAACTAAAATTGAAACTTTAGTTGGGCAAAATGAAATGCAATAGTATAGCTTATGTTTACCGGTCTTTTGGTGCTACTCTGAAAAGTTTGGCGGATCACGTTTTCTTGCAAAAAAGAACTTCCCGGAAATGGTTTTGCACTAAAAATTGCATTGTCAGGTCTAAAGTTTTGTTGTCAGGCCAAGTTTTCTGAGAAACGTTTTCTGTACTGGAAATCCTTTTGCACCAAAAATGGTTTAAAGCTGCTTTAGCCGGACCAACTTGCCTGGTGGCGGCTTCAACTTGCCCCACTTCTGTCGCCCAACTCAACTTGCCAAAAAGTTCGTCAATCACAAGGGTGGCTTCAAAAATAATCCTACCAAGAGAACCCCAATGGCCCAATGGTGAAAGACAAGATGCTGTTGTTGTCCTTGTGGCAGTCGTAGTGGTGGTAGTGATAGTAGATAGGATAGGATCGGATGGAACTTGTTGACATGTCTTCGCTAACACCAGGCACATTCGACATTCGACCAAAAAGCGAACTTATGGAGGCTTGACCGTTCCTCTTTGACGAATTGTTGACCAATTGAGGCGGGCAGAAAAACGTGCGTTTTCCAGGCATCCAGCGATGGAACAGCACTGAGTATTTGTGCACATTTACATGAATTTTAAAAAACAAAAAACTGTGGCCTGCATATCAAACCAAAAAAGCTCTCTTTTGCGTTCAAGTTGAGCATAACATAGCATCACAAACGCGCCCTTTTGAATCCAAAGCGGCATGACCAGAAGGGTATATAGATTGCCAAATCGAGAAGTGGCTTTCATTGGCTCCCAGAACAGGATGTTCCATCAAATCTCGAAAGCCTCCCTGTGAAACCTGCAAGGATCAAAGAATGATTGCGAAATTGGTCCAGCACCAAGCGCAAAATAACAAAAAAGGACTGAGATGTGGTAGGCTAGGCAGGTTTACTTGAGACACTTCCAGGTACAGGACCAACTTCAGCGTGAAACCCTCAAAGCTTCCTGACACACCTTGAGCCCAAAAGAAGTTGGTTTGCCGGCACAATCACACTCAATCTCCAGGCTGGTTGTGCTGACCAGAGCGCTATCCTCTAGACATGTGCACAAACCAATCCCAACGCCAGCCGCTAGCATCTGCTGTTGAGCAAATGCTGACGGAGCACAGAAAAATCATTGAGCACAGCAAGTCAAAACGCTCCAGCCATGAGCCCATAGAGAAACCTACAGCACGGAAAAGGACAACAAACTTAGACGTAGGATCATACCCAAGCTCATACCGTATGGGGCAGACATCAACAAAGGACTTGTTCCACTTTCCCACGGCCCACCCCAAAGCATGACCGAGGCCAAGTTGTGGCTACTTGCTGCAGTACATGGAGCCTTGTGAAGAAACCAGGAAAGAGAGTCCCTTGCTGTTGCATCCACAAAACCTTCAGGTCAAATATCGTATCTCAGGGACCCCTCATGCAAGGCTCCACCATTTTGGTGGCATTTTGACCACCACTACACAAATGCGCGCATTCCGTCGCTTTGTAGACGGAAGAAACAACAAACCTTTTCTCCACAGTAGCCACAAAGCTTGAGACTGCGATGCCAATGTTTGCATGAGCGGTGGACTGGCAAAGAGCTTAAAAGCGTGAGGGGTCTCAGTGACCACGTCAGGTGCCTCAGCGCAGTTCCCAAGCAGTATGTGGTGCCCATATGTGCGCCTATGGGTCAGCGTGGTGCGTGGTGCCGCCACAAGGGCGTCTCATCTCAGCCGGCTTGAAGTTTCCGGAACCTTGGCACCAAGGCTTGCAACCACGTGACTTCAAGATTGTAAACACGGCCAAGCCACGCTTGTGGTCAAATATGTCTTTTCAGTTTTGGGATGAGAAAGCTTATAAGTCTTTCCGATCAGTCTTTCGGATGGGTTGCCTTCAGATGCCTGGCGCCGTGGCCACGGCGCTTAAGGCAATTGAGGGCAGGGCTCTTCAATCCAGCAATCTCTCATGGCCTGGCAGCCCGGAGAAGGGTAGGCCGTGTAGAGGTGAGGTAGCTTAGCTAGGTAGGTAGCTACGGTAGCTAGTAGAAGCTAGGTAGCTAGTAGCTTAAGTAGCTACGTAGCTACTGACACGACGCAGGATAGCTCACACTCTTGATTTGGTTCCTAGATTCGATAGGGAAACTTAACTAGGATCGCGCACATGCTGGTCCACGGGATCCCTTTCCTGCTGTCCCGATATGAAAACAGCTCAAGTGTCTATGACACAACTCATTCGTCCTTGCATTCACGATGGGCCACCACCAGGGCCCACGGTTCCGCCGTCGGTTCCTCCGTCGGGGCCTCCGACTCGGCCGCAAACTCGCCAGGCGCGAACTCCACTCCACCGCTGGGTGGCAAGTGCACCTGAAAGGAACTCCAGAGAAAAATACTGCCCGACCACTGGGCATCCCTGCGGCATCACTTCCGGAACACAGCTGTCTACAGCGAGCTTCCGCTTGCAAAAGAACGACTGTAGTGATTTGGAAGCAACCACGAAGCTACTAGGAACAAGTGCATCGCTTCTAGTAACAAGTGCCTTACTAGTAGTAACAAGAAAGTAGTAGAAACAAGTGCCTTACTACTAGTAACAAGTGCATCGCTTCTAGTAACAAGTGCCTTACTAGTAGTAACAAAAAGCTAGTAGAAACAAGTGCCTTACTACTAGTAACAATAAGAATCTATATAATTAGACTTGTAAATACCAAACGGAAGCAACCTGTGCACCTCTGGACAAACTCCGCAGGTCCCACCACCTCCGGTCCCAGCACGTGTGTTCGTCCCGCCCCGTGCGGTCCGCCCAAACTCTTGGTGCCTGGAATGCCCATGGGATCGCGCTGTCATCGTTGGAAAGCAACGCAATGTGCGCCTTTTGAATATCATCCTCAGAGAACGCGGTCCGCATCTCAGAGGCCGCTCGAGAAAGAACGATGGAAAGCAGGGTCGACCCTGGGTTTTAAAACCGTCCGTTTTGCTTCGATGCCCAGGAAAAATATCACATGCCGATGCGGAATGATGTGCTACCAGGGCACCGAGGTGTAGTAGACTAGGTCACGATCCTGCAGGTGAGACTGATCCAGCCAAGATCAACTGTCAGTGTTCTGTTCTGAGTCTTGCGTTTGGAACTTCAAAATCGCGGACGTTGCGAACTGATGTATTCCCTTCAAAAAGAATCTGGTGCGAATTGAATTATTCACGCTGACATCTCCAGCATGACAAACCTGAGACAACGCAGCAATCACTTCAGCATCAAGGCCCACTGCATAGCAGAATCATGTGCAACAAACAAACTGCACACACTGTGCCTCCTTTTTGCTGAAATAGACGAGACTGCCATTTTTGGCAATCCACATCTCCCGCTCGAACCTCATACCAGCACGCGTAGTCTGGTGCAATCCTGGTCTGGTCATCTAGGCGTTTCCATTAGGGCTAGGTTGTGAGGATTGTTTAGTTATTGAATCAACCCAAAGATAAAGTTGATATTTCTTAAGCTGATATGTTTTGCTGATTTCAGGAAGTCAGTGTTCTAAGAGTCTTGAAAGTTTGAGCACCACAAAACAAAGCCCTGCCAACCTCCTGCGATCCAACAGAACTTGAGCTTCCCTGCCAATCCTCTTCCTTTCTCCTGTCACCTTCCGCCTGCACGATCATGTTCAGGCAAAGAGGACATCAACAACTCACCATCATTTTTCAAACAACTCACCATCTGCTGTGAGTTGCCATCTGGCATTGCCGATGCCAGCCGGATGTTCCCGCACCTTGACCTTCCATAGCTTGGCCCGGAAGACCGGCGCGAACCTCGGAGAGAGGGTCACCCGGTAGAGACGCCCCATCATTTGGACCCGTGCTTGTAGTCGGCCGACGTTAAGGATATGCCAGGAGCTACGAACGTAGCATGGACATCTCCCGAACCTGCCAAAATGTGACGTGGAAATCACCCCCGAGTGAGAGCTTTCTCACTTTCCACTCCTCCGCCAGGCAGCTGGTGTTTCTTGTCCTCACCCACCTTCATTCTGCGGTTCTTCACGTTCAACCTCCAAGGTCTTCGCACTTTGACGGGAAAATTGTGAAACGAAATCTGCGGTAATAGAAGCTGCCTTGGGAATCGTTTCACTGGGAATCGTTTCACCTGTAGTAACAAGAAGCTGTTTAGTATGTCTTTGATGCTTCTTGGTAACAAGAAAGCTACTATATAGGTTGGAGGCTTCTTAGTAATAAAGCTGTTTGTATTATACAACTACCAGTAGAAGCTTCCTTGGGAATCGTCCAGGTCTTCGCACTTCGGAAAGAGGTGAAAATTCTGCAGTTCTTGGCCGAAGTTTATATATAGGAAGCTACCAGTAACAAGTGCCACGCTACTAGAAACAAGTGCCTTACTAGTAGTAACAAGAAGAATTTAATTAGAATTTCTAGTTTTGGATTACATCTCTTA